CCTTCCCGGCCCCTTCCGAAACGGCCCCGGCCCCGTGCTGCGGCCCCCTCACAGCCCCGGCGCCCTCGGCTCCGCAGGCGGGCACGGCGTGCGGCTCGGTCGCGTCGGGATCCCCCGCGCAACGCGCGGGAGCTCCCGGCCAGAAAAAGCGCCTTGTGCCAGGCCTTTGCGTACGACCCGCGTTTCGGAGATCAGGGGTGTTACAGTTTCACAAGTTATAGAGGAAAATGGGGAAAAAAAACCCCCAAAACCCCACACGGTAACGCTGCCCCCGTGTCCCACCACACGCATCGAATCGTACGGAGGGAAAGGTACGGGTGCTAATCCAGCTGCCTCTGCTACAACTGACAGGCAACTGTATCGAGCGGAAAGTCTGTATTTCCCCTTCATAATACCAATTTTAGGATGGAAAGGCTTCGTTCTGAAAGTGTGAAGTTACACAGGGATAAAAATGGAAAAAGCTCAATTACTCTTTTCCTCATGAAGTTAAATATTGGAAAAAAGGTACATCTAAAAAAATGTTCCAGAAACAGAAGAAAAAGCCAAAATAGGCTCTGAGGTACAGCATGGGGATTCACTAGACGAAACAGTTTTCCAAACACCAGCTTTAATAGTAGATGTAAATGCTTGTTTTAAATATAATAGGGTATTTATCCTCATCTTTTTATATTTGCCAAGCACCTCCTATTAATGTTGGGCCAGTAGGGAACTGATACTCATTAATCTGCAGCTAGGGAAGTCTGAACATCAGAAACAGTGCACTTCCACTTAGACTAGAAATGTGAATGCTGATGCATATGATGGAAATACATCTAAAAAGAAAAAAAAAAAATCAGGTTGTATTGCAGAACGCCTCCTTAGAGTAAGGTCTTATTTGGTCTCTGAAGAGACGTTATGGAAACTTTATTGCCCGATAGATTTAGAATTAGCCTGAATAAAAGGTCTAGCAAAATCTGTTGCAGAGATCAGTCATGCATCCTCACAGACTGGAAGGGATAACCCACTAAACAAGCTCCAGCTCCAACTTTTATGAGTCTCTTTACAAAGCCACAGAACATAAACTGTTTAGGGGCTCACTATTATTCCAATATATATAGTCAGCATGGGAGATACGAAAGACACTAACACACAGCAATTATTTCAGGATTGAGACATTCCAAAGATTCTAGCAGGCAGTAAGCTCCTCGAGTAAAAATTCTGCTATTCCTGCTACTGCAAGAGCGATGTCCCCAAATCCACATTATCTGAAAGGTAAACAAAGCAGTAGAAAATACTCATCTAACCCTTGACCCTTCCTTCACTAAAGTTAAAGACAGCAGAGGAGGGTCCTAGTCAAGTAATAGACTGAGAAAATCAATTCTATCTACAGTACAGAAACTTCCTGCATATGTTCCACTAACAGTAGCTGCAAACATTTCTACTCATACAAGCCACAGTGGAAGCTGCAGCATGGACCAGTCTTCCATGGCCACTCCAATTATTGATCCTTTACAAGTATTTATGGAATTAAGCCACTGAAACATAATCTATCAATTAATATGCAAAATCATACACAATGGATTCCCTGTTTTAATGAATTTTATCTAGGAAGGCTGTTGGGTGTGTTTTTCAGTGGTGGGTTTGGTTGTTTGGTTTGGTTTTTTTGAAATAGTAAATATATGGGGGTTTTTTCCCAACAAAGTCAGTTTCACTGTCACCTACCCAAGAACTTAAATTTTGCATAGCTGTACCAAAAGCAAGGTTTCCAAGGATTTAAACAAAGGAAATAAGACTCCTTTGTGTTGTGATGTTTCATAAAAGCAAACCTTAAATAAATACAATCTAGGCAGCCTCAGTGAACACTGCATTGATTATATTAATTCAAATTTTTATCACATTCCAAAAATCACCAAGCAAGAAACTAATTCTTCCATTTTACTTTTCAGTTTCTGGAGAAGGCTTGCAGTAGAAATAAATCTGCTGTAACAAATTTAATACTGTCATTTTCACATACCACTAGAATTAACTTCTGTTAACAAAGAATAGCAGCTCATTTTTGCACACTTGCATGCATTTTAATGGAGAAATTCTGTACAAGCCAACAGCTTTACAGGTCATTCCCACCACGTGAGGAGCCACAGATTCTTGGGAGATGCTCTAGCAATGCTGTTCCGTTCCTTTGTAAGGAATCAGAGGTTCAACATAAGCCAAGAAGAATTCAGCAACCACGAAGAGGCCACAATCTGCATAACGGAGCACACCAGCTTTCTCTGCAGCAGCAGAGATGCTTACAGGGCTGGACAGAAGCACAGTCAGTAGGTTCAGGCAGCTCTTGCTCCTGTAACACCCGAGTAGACAGCAGCCACTATCAAAGCCAAGCTACTCCTCAGTTGCCGTAGCTTTTTGGGGGCTTTCATTGCCCAATGGCACAGATAGTACCCCTTCTGTAACATGCCACTTGGAGAAATTCTTACCAAGCACAGCATAAGGGTTTGATTTAGCTGCTGATAGTTATTTAGACTGACTCATAATAAGTTAGACACCTGCAATGATTTAGGAGCCTGGTTTTTTTCTTGATATAATCAGCTTCAATAAATTCTCGCTCAAGTTACACAGGACAGTTGACATCCAAGTTTAACCTCTTGTCCAATGCCCATTAAAAATGCATTTCCTTTTACGGAACTTGGATAGAAAATACGTAGCCAGTTACTTCAGTGGAGCTAAGATACCATGACCATAACTCAGGGGAAGTAACTCTTGACAATACAAGTTACACTGAAAAAAACCCCCCAACCCTGTAACTTTCTGTAGCACAAAGGTATTTCATGTCACTGCTGCTTTCTTTTAATTATGAAGAATATATAGAGACACATTAACATCACACAAGTATGTTTCAGTTTATACTTCTTCTAAAAAATGAATAATTGCCCAATTAGGTTGGAAGTGTTTTATTACTCTTTTGAATTCATTAGCCATGATAAAATGTCAAAAGCACCAGTCAAGACAGAAATAAATAACACAATCTCATGTTAGAGAGAAAGTTGCAAATACAGTATATTAAATTATAGCAAAATGCTGCTTCACACCAACCGATGTAGACAGCACACCAGGGAGACAGTAGTTTTACTCACGATCATTGAAAAGATCTATTACCAGAACAGGGGAGCTGCACACCCAACTACAAGCATCATTCTTTTACCAATGTACTTTATGAATTTAATCAAGGGTTTGAACTGGCAGTTTTGGAAGTTCAACATCCCCTTTGTCTAGAGGTAACAAAAGTGGTACAAAGCTTTTCACAATAAGCCACACAAAAAGCCAAGGCTTTCACATCTTTGTAGTCTTTGATTTCAGGTCCATTCCTGCACCAAGTCAGTTTAAAGCCACATCTTAAAGTCCTCCTTAGTACATAGTAAAGATAAACTCAGGGCAGGCAACATATGCAAAATTAATATCATAGTATTATGAAACTGCACTTCAGGGGCTTTGAGCAGAGCACCTCTGCAAGTTTATGGGGAGCACTGTATCAGTCAAAGTGAAGGAAGGAAGTTACAGTCCCTTTGGGGAAGAAAATCCATACAGAAAAGCCATTTTAAAAATATTAAGACAAGACCTCTACAATTGCACACCACTTCAGGCCTGAATTAAATCAGGAGTATTCTATTAGATGTTGCCCTGATTTCTCTTTTATGGCCTACAGCAAAGTTTTCCACTGAAAAAAATAGTGAAAACAACCCCAAATTCTCTACTGAAGGCCTAGTAACATGTCACTTGTGTGACATCTCATGGTCAGTAAGAGACCATAAACACATCCTCTTCCAGGCAGACATTTGAAAGAAATAATCTTCTGTCAGGGAAAATGGATGTAATATATCCTGTAGTGAAGTCACTTCTTGTAAAAAAACCATAATACATATGGGCAGATGCACTGTAAAATAAACAGCTTATACAACAACTAAAGTTTGAAACATCTGAGGTCAGATAGAGATTCTCCTTTCAGCTTTCTACTCCATTTTTTATGTTTAACTTCACCATTGCTTTAATGTGATGTCTGTACTTCAAACTAAAAAAAAAAAAAATCGTACATGAAAAAATATATATGATCATTCTGGTGAGGAAAAGCATTCCCATGATTACTCAAGCTCAGAAATTTTTTTTAATTAACTAAATGTGTTAAATTATCCCAGTGATTAAATCTTGTTATTTATAAGATCAAGTACTACTCTGATTCTTAATAATGGTGCAGTATCTAAATTAAGATCACAGGGGTCGGATTACATTCTGGTTGCTAAAAGCTTTCTTTTTTAGCTGTCTATCCAGTTCTTGGAGTTTTTGAGTCTGGAAGAAAGGAGATGAAGCCAAACATTTTTGTGCCTCAACATATTTTACATTTAGGTCAATTTTTGTTATCTAGTCCCATGACTCAGTAACATGGTTTAAATTTGAAGCCTGTAACAATTGTGACTAAGAATACAGAAGACAACACATTTTTGTTCACAGTAACACACTAATTACTGTACTCACTGGTAAACTTCAATTTTGTAATTATTTTTAAGTACCGTGTTTCCAAAGACCTCTGCATAAAGGCGCCAAATTATTTGTGTGGGAGCATCAAATTTCCTGATATTTTCCATATAATCCTTAAAAACACCTCACAGATCACCAAACTTGTACTTTGAAGAATTCTACAGAAACATTGCACTGACTTTGCACCACAAGGGCTTATACATTCAAAAGGCAGCTTTCTGGAGTGCAGGTCCATCCATTCACATTGGGGAAAAAAGTTCACATAAACTCCAAAAATGAGAAAATGAAGTGAAACCTAATGTGACTTTACACCAATAAGAACAACAATAAGGACAATTACTATAACAAACAAAATTAAAATAACAAGCATCTTCCGATTCTTCTTTTGATATTGCTCTGCCTATAGAAACAGAAAAGAAAGAGTTAATACTTAGATTTCTGCCAAGCTACAGACTCTTGTTTAGTATAAGTGAAGTACAGGTGTATCTCAGAACTGTTCTTTGGTAATTTGACATTTCATACAATGTATATTGCAAGCAACTCCCACAAAATAACTCTGGTCTGCACCGTAGACTTCAGCGAAGGTACGTGTGCACTGAAGTCACGTTTATCTGTGTTAAACAGCAGACTCTATAAAGAAGAATGCATCCTCATGTCAGTTAAGCAACCTTACTGTGACTACTTTTCAGGAGTCCTTGAGAGGTCCCTATGCCTCCACAGGACATATGAGCTACACAGAAGTTGTGTGAAACAGTAGAAGTTGGTAAGATGTTTTAAGTCATTTTGCTGATAATAAGATTCCTGTATTATATTTGAAGGACATTGAAATTCACAACAAAACTTCATTATTTAATAGGCATTTTTGTTGTACCTGATTCAGCTGTGTATTTTCATTTAATTTCAATTAGAACTGAAAGCTTTCTTTTTGATTTGGTTCTCAGTTTTCTGCTTCATTCCTTCTTTCTTCTAACCACATTTTCTCATCCCTTTCCTCTTTTTCCCAGGGGAATTAAAAGGAGGCAACGTGGAGAAAACTCTCCAAAAGCCAAATGAAAGTCTGCTAATAGAAGCTAAACAAAACAAAACTTGCATTTAATTCTTTTTAAATTAACAAACCTTCAATATTTAAAGGGAAAAAGATATTAATTCTCCTTTATAGTCCCTGGAAAGTAATTCATTATTATCAGATCTGCTAAAGAGGAGTTTTTGACCTGAAACTATATAACATGCAACCACTGTGATTATTTACTTTATTAGGCTTTAAGTATCACAGCCTGACAAAGTATCACAACTGATTCCAATTTTCATGTGAAGCAGGAATCGGTAACTACTGCTTCATATCACCAGACTTCTGCAGTGAATTAATGCAATTTCTGTGAAGCGCTGTCTCAGTAGTTTGTAATAATTACGCCAATTACAACAGAAAAGAAAACTGACATCATAGATATTAAATCAGAATAAAGCTACCAACAGTATTAGAAACAGCAAGGTATATGTGTTTGATATTACTATTCACACCTGCGTGCATGTCTTCCATGATAGGTGAAAAAATTCCTATGCTATACCGAAAACGGGTATATATTGCATCAAATACCCATACTCTAGTCAGCAATCCTAACAAGGGTTTGCTGACGATTCATTAACTACCACTAGACTAGGAATAGCATTGATTCCAACTGATTCATTTATTTCCAGTTCAGTTTGTGCAAATTGCTTGCAATTACTTTAAGCCTTGTTCACCAACGGTCAATGACTTTAGTGATCTCCAATTTACTTTTATGTATTACAAGAATAAACCTATAACCAATTTATTTTGCTTTTCCTCAAATGGCACTTTTTTGCTGTCCATATATTAGAAGTCTACGATAATATGAAGAAGAGGAGTGTGTAGTAATAAGAAGTCCACGCTTCCAAAACAGAATGTTTTACTTAAGAGGCTTTTGCATGAATCTCTCATTCTACTTTATTTCCAGCAATGGAAGGGTTGAACTGAGCTGACAAGTCTGAACTTAGCTTAAAATCAAAACAAAAAAGCCAACAAAACAACCACAAAATGCTGTGTTCTGCTGCCAATTCAAACTTTTCAGATGTTCATAGTAAAAGCTTCACATTAAAAGCATAAGGTTGGACCTAACTTCTAACAAGTGTCAGATGGTAAGAGAAAACATTAAAAATTATTCTTGCTGCTCACATTATTGAGATAATGTTTTCAAAGTAGGATATACCAACTGACTGAAATCTATAGTGAGGTACCCAATAACCAGTCCTATTTCACAAGCGCTGGGCTCTCCAGAGAAGGAATTGCAGATAGGTCCCACCACGTCAACAATATAAAGATCAAAGCACATCGCTTGGATGCCCAGAAGTTATTTAAGAAATTAACACTAGGCATCAAGCATGACATTAACTGAAATTATATGAAGAGTTCCTAATACAGCATAGCTGGACATTTTATACAGTACAGCAATCATTTCTAAAAGGGACAATGTCCAATTGAAAAATGACTGAATAACTTAGTTCTATTAAATTATAAAAGATTATTAGATATTCAAAGCAGCTTAAGTATTCTTTACTTACCTTGTGTAGTTGTTTGAGACCTTCTTCAGTTTTCATACATGACTGTTCGACATTGTAGTCAATTCTATCTAGAACTGTTCCCTAAATAAAATGGAGAGAATCAGCACCAAACTGAACCTAAATGAACATCATAAAGCAATTATTATGAACAGCAGAGTAATTAACAATACTCACAGCAAACAGCTAATGAACTGCGTAAACTAGGAACTCTTACAGAACTAGTTGGGACTTTGTTAAAGGACATCCTTGCTCAATGCCTAACTGGCAGCTCTGTCACCATCTCATCACATCCCTTAATAATCACCTTACTTCCAGTCCAGGTGCTTTTGGCTGACACAACCTAAACTGAATCTCTGGGAGAAATAACCAACAGAACTTCAGCATTCTATGGTTTTTTTTAGTCTGACACCCATAACCAGTTGAATTTTTATTTATTTATTTTCATTAAGTCATCTTCTGGCAGATTTCAAGCAGAGGAAATCTTAGCCTGAAGAGGTAAGTTAGGAAAAGCAAGAAGCACATGAAAACAGGATGTTACAACCATCTGGAAGACTTAACACTACATGAAGTCTCCTACTTCTTACTAACACTGTGATGTCAATGTACCTGTTCTACTATCATTGCTCCCAGGTCCCTAAATATTTCATTGAGATCAGAGATTGACTGTACAATCTGACGGATTTCTCGTTCCCGCTCTTCCACCATCAATGTGTTTTGCTCCACCAATGCTAGCTGGTCATCTGTAAAACCCTGTTGAAATAAAAGATTTAGATGTTGAACTAACATTAACAGCATGAAAACACTACAAATAATTACAAGGATTATAAGATTTCATAACACAACAGTCCTTTTGGAATTTCCTTAGTAGACAAGTATCTAAAAAAACTTACTGTATTTTAAAAACAGAGTTTCAGGGTCACTAAAATAACTTGGACAGCTATTTATAGTTTGAGCAGAGAAAATGTAAATCTTGCATCCTGCCCAATCTCACAACTTTTTAAAATAAGATTTGTCCTAAACCAATGTTTTTATTGGTGTACAAAACCAATACATGCAAGTGCCTGGTAGTTATGGAATATCTACTGATTGACCAGCATTACAGAAAGTCCCATAATGCCAATGTGTAAAGACACAGCAGCAATTCTGATTTTTTTTTTTTTTTTTTTTTAAAAAAACTGTAGAGACCTTACTGGTTTTGTCTCCCAAGGCCAATCATAACTGAACACTATCCTTTCTCCATCACTCTTGTTTAGAGATAAGTGAAAAACCTCTTATACACAAGATCAGCTGAAAAGCTGCCTTGAGTTTTTTTTGGCAATTTTTCAGTTAAACAGTAAGTGTTACAGTTAAGAGTATTCTGTGGCACTATTAGATAGGACACAATAGAACAGATCCCACCATTGCTTAGAAATTCAGTATCCCCAAACTCCACAAAGTAAAACAAGGAAGTGGGTCGGGTATGGCTCCACAACATAACTGTGCAGAAACAAATCATTACACCACTATTTGCAATAATTTGTAATACTGAAAAGCTTCAGTTACACTTTAAAGTCTGCCACCTTCCATCCAAACTCAGAATCACAGTTTTCTAACAATTGCATCTGCTCAGAAAGGTGGTATGACAAAGGACAGCACTGTATTTACAGACCTTTAGTCCCTGTCAGTCATGTAAGGAGGATTCAGTAGTCAAACTGAGTTCCCTCACACTGCAACGCTGAGGCTGATAGTGCAATCATCTTAACATCGCAACAGCAATATTAATTAGGAAAATGCATCACAGAAATCTGCAGAAATAGAATTTGCATGTAGCTTGGTGCTTATAGCATACCATTTTGATATTTTCATACTAAAATTAAAGGTATATTAAAAAGTTTCTTTGTATTGAATTTGCGTAATAATATCTTAACTTACTCTATCGTAAAGTGTATCATCCTCCCCATCATCCATCAGCGGGACTGAGGTGTCGAAGAAGTGTTTGGATCTTTCTTCTCTATTCTTCATGCCTGTAAAAGACAAACTATGTTTGAGCATAATATTTATGCACACTGAAATCAGACTAAGAGTAAGGTCTGAAGCACCAGATAGAAAAGCAGAATAAAGAAAATCTGGCTAATGACAAATAGCAGTATCTTAATTTTAACTGTCACACAGGCTTACTATTTAACAAAGTATAATAAATTCAACCAGACTTGCAAGACTCCAGTTAAATCAGTGATTTTTAAGTCATTGTGTTCCATGAAGTTAAAAAAAAAAATAGGGAAGTTAAGAGCCTTAATGTGTGATCACTCCAAGCTATTTTCTAACAAATTCTCTTAGGAACATCCCTTGTCTGAATTGTGATCTTAATTTCCACCTGTGCCATTTATACCTTTGGAGGAAGAAATACATCAGTATTAAATTTGAAGATCAAATTTTTGTGGGTTTCTCCCAAGATCAAAATAATCTTACTTAGCTGAAAATAGAATTGCACACAATTTTAGAATTTTAAACAGAGGATATTCCACTTCCGATCTGTTTATGGATGAAGACTTCATTTATCACAGACTACCTTTTGAAGTTTAATCTATCACAGACTATCACTCAACAGCAGGTATCATGTCTGAAGACCAACGGCTGCTTCATCAATATTTAACCATGAAATTTTTCCTTTAGCAATATGAGAGGTAGAACAAAGCAGTTTGAACATGGGCTGTGAACCAAAAACTCCCAAATTCTAACCTCCACTCTAATATACTTCTGGCACTCCTGCGTGCATCACTTAACCCTTCTGTGCTTCAGTTTTCCCAACCAATAAAATAAGCACACCTTAATTAGTGGTTTCCACAGAAGGTGCCCATGTATTACTGTATCTCTTATGCTTACGTTTGAGATAGTCAGACTGTGCATGCCTAAAGTTGGTGGATAGGTCCTGAAGGGACTGTGCTAAGGAAGACACTACATTCCTGAGAACACGTGCTTCTTGTTCTGTACAACTACGTGACCTGCTCTGCAAGACCTGGACTGCTCTCTGACATCTGTGAAATAACTGAGAAAACAATTCCATTAGTAAAAAAAACATAAAGCAACACACACTTTAAATATCACATTGCAAAAGTTCCAAATGGAAGACTAACATTTTGATTTCTAGATTTATAAAGTTAATTTCTTATTGCCCAGTGCAATGTTTAAAAAGGTGCGGAAACACAGAACATAGGTGAACAAACAACTTCAAGCTAACAGGGTAGCAGAGTAACACAACTACTTCCGACCAAAGGCGTTTGCTTCATTATAACTGCTTGGAGTGGAAGCCTTAGAATATATATCTGTATTTCTCCGAGATATCTGTAAATGTGATTTGATTAAGTCTCCCAATCCTATTCCAAGCAGAAAAGCAAATAGGTAAGGTAAAAGAACAGGGAGGCTAAGTGACTTGTTGAGAAATTCAACTGAGACAGCAAGTGCAGTACCAAACACAGAGCCCAGGACTTCTGGCTCACACCAATACTGATTACAAAAGAAATGCTTTATACAAAAGGCAACCACTGCCTCATAATGATGCATTACAGATACATCAAACTGTAGGTTTAGAATTGAAAGCAGTCTGTACCTGTGTGATCTCTTGGGTTGTTATTTCTATTGCCCGTTCTTCTTCACTGCTGTCATCCAGTGTTGGCCTGTTTAGATGTTTATCATGAAGACTGGCTAATTCTTTCATCTTCTGTTTAACCCTGGCAATATCATACTGAATCTAAAACAGAAAACCCAACAATGAAGAAAAGGAAGTGACTAATGTTTCAGAGGAAAAGCTTCTGACAAATGTTAGACAAAAATCACTGAAAGAAATGTATATGATATAAAAAGCAGACCAAAGATCATGAAAAAGAAAAACACACATAAAAAGCTGACTAAGAAGTAACTGAATACTCTCATATACTTTGAGTTTGTTACTTTTTAAACCTACTCTTGTTAGGACTGCTGTTTTCAAATATGCTTCATTAAAGTTGGAATAATATTTTTATCATTTTGTAATTAATACCATAGTAAGAAGGTTTAGCCAACTTCCAAAAAGAGAAATGAAAATTCAGGTCACACCTTCAACTCTGTCAAACATTGAATAGTCTGAACTCAACAGTAGAAGTTAAATGACATGCTTTCAAACAAGTCATTAAAAATAAATCTGTAAGCATGATCATTATCGTAGTAGAAAGGAGACCAATCGCCTTTCTGCACAAGAGGTTCTGTATGCACAAACTGAGGAGCCAACATGTGCTCTGAGAGTACATTTTAAAAGGATCTTCTGAAAATCAAGAATAGCTTCACACTCCAAATACTGGAAAAGGTTTTTAATTGGATGCCTCCAGAATAATTCCCTTACATTTGTCCAAATATATCCATAACTTGCAAAGCACCGGTACTGCATAGGCAGGAAAAATTCTCCTGTTAGAAGACACTAACACTTCCTGTTTTCAAACAGTAAACTGCTAATCTCCACCATTTTAGGGTCTATTCAATTGGACCCCTCAATAGATTCAAACAAAAAGTCTACTGGAAGTGCTAATTTTTTTGTATCCTTCTTTCTAAGTTCCAAACTGAGAACAACTTTGCTTTGCTAAGAGCTTTAGGACATTCCTGCAGTCTCAAGTCTAAATGCTCAGCTGCAGATGCAAACCAAGTCTTCTGGAATTTCTGGCCCTACATAACCTCCCTTTATTTCACTGGCAATATATACTTCAAGATAACGAGTCACAGCTTGCCTGATATTTTCTTCTAAACAAGGGTGTCAATTTAGAAAACACACTTATTTTAATCTTTCTTCTAATACTACTTCTGTCATAAAACTTACAGCACTGAGAACGTAACTGACAACACTAATAAATCCCTACAAGAGAAATCAAAATCTGTGTTGGATTTGCCACACAACTTACTTCGTCTGCTCCATCAACCCATTTGGGAGGTAAGCGTTTTGTTACTCCAATTGCTGCTTCAGGATCTAAACTTATTCCTGATACCAGTGCCATACGATCATCAGCAAGCTACAGAAAATAAGAAAAGATAGCAAATTAATTTTACTCAAATTAGATCTGAATCCTTGAGCATCAGGAAAAAGTGTGCGTATGCCTTCCCATAAAAATTAACCTCAAAAATGTGTTTGCACACAATGCAGGCATGATCAAGCTCTACATCTCCTGGTTTGTCCCTGTATGCTAATGACCTACATCCTCCCACTTCCTACCAGATCTGAAAGATGAAAGTTACTTTTAGAATAAATTCTTAGCAGATTTTCAAGGAGAAAATATGGCATTGCAGTGAGAACTCAAGTAATTCTCATGTTGGTACATTTCGTATTAGACAACGATTAACAGCCAAGGGATTCCCTAATCAACAGTGTAGCATGGTTTATATTGGGCCAGGTGAGTCTGAAAGTCTCATTTGGGAAAATCTCCAAATAAAAATGTTTATTACATCTCCAAGAAATAAAAACAGTATCCCATGATTGTTCTCAGACAATATTGTATTTAGGCAGGCACTCACCTACTAGGCAGCTGAAGAACAAACACTCTTGCAAACTGCCAAGCAACTAAAATTGTTTATTTATTTATTTAACAGAAATTAAAAGGTGCTAAACAAAAGTAGCCAAGGCAGTGACCAATCCACACTTCTCTATATCACAATGATACATGCTTGCTGCTTCAGCTATATGGTGTGAGGCAAAGAAACTTGCAGGAAAATGGGTGGAATAATTCTCCAGAAAATTCCAGAGATTGTCAGAGAGTAAGACAATGTGCCAGCCAGCTTATACACAGCTTTCCACAGATCCGAGGGAGGGCTGGAGGTAGGGAAGGAATAAAAGAAACCCTTTATCACAATTAATAGTCATAATTTGAATAATTCAGGTGCAACAAATCAGGGGTTTATATTATTGGAGGCTGATGCACACTGATGTACAGCAGCACAGTCATAGTTGCAGAAGGGTATGATATATATATTTTTGGAGACTCTTTTTGGGAAAAGAATCCCATTTGTAGGGTTGAAATATTAACAGCTTTTAGGAGAAAAACCACATAACTAATTAAAGGTATTTTTGAGTCACAAAATGCCTGTGATAAGATTCTGAGAGATTTATTTTTCAAATAACACTTTTGGATGCAGGTTGAATAACTTCAACCTCAACAAAGCTTAAAATGTGACAACTATGAAGAAATAAGAACATAATGTGTCAGGTGTTTGTTTTGGGTTTGTTTGTTTTTCTACAAAGCTCAGTTTGGCAGAAACCATAAGCCATGGTCTGATCTTGAATATACAGGCACATATTTATTTATCTGCTTTGATATCATTGCCAGTAAAACATGCTGTTCACCCTCAATAAGAATTCTTTTGTTAAGGACAGCACTAGTGCTACTGACCTTTAAACAGATCAGAAGATTTTTCTTGGTAGGGTTTAGAAACTTACATAAATAGACTCAGTGCTATAGTGCAGGTACAAAGAAACCTATTTCTACAATGGCACAGTGTTGTATGAGGTTGTCCAGCGAAAGGATGGTATCTTTGCTCTTAGAGGTTTTTGAGACTTGGTTAAACAAAGTCATGGATGACCCTATATAGACTACCAATAGTCTTGTTCTGAGCAGCAGCTTGAACTAGATGTCCAGAGATTCCTTCCAACAAGCATGCCTATGATTCTCCAATTTAAGGCTGAGTAGGATACACAGCTAACAGTGTGCAGGGCCACAGAGCAACATATAGCACTGGGGCCATAGATGCTTCCAGTCATCTTCCTCTGAGAGGAAGGCAGGGGAATGGATGAAATTGGAACACAAATACAGATCTTGTTGCCAGTTGAATGAGGCTTTGTGATTTCAGAGATAAACTAATCCTCCTTTACTGGAGATAGAAAGAGGTGGTATCATCAATGATACCACTTGAAACATACCTAGTTATGTCACTGTTTGTTCCCAGGGAAAGATTTCATACAAAAAACCTTACTTCCTCGTTTCTCCCAGATTTCTAATTTTCCTTTATCAGGCCTGGAAAGCTTTGTGGTTCCCCACCCCCTCCCTTTTTAAAAAACAATCCCTCTTCCTTCCTGGGCAATTCTTTCCTGAAAGCCTGTTTTTTATCCTTGACCTTATTTCCTGACCAATAAAGTTTATAAAATTCATGCATAGCATAAAAAATAGTTAATGCTTCATTGTATACATATGGGATACAGTGACTTTATACAGTAAGTCAGACTAATTTATACATGTATCTATTAACAATGTAACATCATATCACAAAATGCTTGTCTTCTCTATGCAGCCTTATCCTTCTACTCTACATGGAAACACCTCATCCTACATAATGAAATTTAATAAAACTAGCAGAATAAAGAAAGGAACATTTTAGCTCAGCAATGTATGCCTGATGCACGATGGCAGAATAAAACGTGAAAAACAGTACCTCATCCAGCTCCTGAAGTGATTTGTGGATCCCATCAGCCCCATCCAGTTAGAGACAGCAAAAGATAAAAGGGAAAAGAGACATAGGACAGATATAGGGTATGGTCAGTTGAGAAAATACTAATTTATTTTTTAAGCATGATGGTTTACCAAGAACAAAACAAATTGGCTTTTAAAACACAACTATTCAATAACTATATCATGATATTGCACATTTTAAGTCAGCATTTTGCTTGATGCACAAACTTTTAAAAAAAAAAATTTCAGTTGCTTGGTAAACAGAAAGAACATAAGAGATCAAGTTAAGAGCTTGGTTTGTTTTCCAAAGTAACTGCACAGTGAAGTTTCTAGTTACTAAAATTTCAGGTAGAAAAACTGCAATAGAATATATTGAAGTGTGACAGCAAGGGCAATTTGACTGCAGTATTCAACATCCACTGGTGAGTTAGAAGGTTTGATTATGATTGGAAGATACACATACAAGCTTTGTAAGACATTTATTGACAAGCACCCCAGTTATCACAGGATAAAACAGACAGCAAAAGACAAAAAGCAAAAGCAAATGTAGTGTATGCTCACTTATGTACACACGTCACTTATGGTCTAGTTTCAGGTAACGTTAATCCTACATGCATCTGAAGAAATACAAAAGGCTAGCATCTGCAACATATCTGCACCTTCTTTACTCATCAGTCTTTGTACTGTAGAAGGTATGTGTGTGCAATAGGATATTTCACTCAAAGATTAATAAAGCAAGCAGATCTAAACCAAGAACAAAATACTTGTGGTTTAACAAAGCAGCAGGCCTTAACTACTGATCTCTTTTATCCTATACCAAGCTTTTGAAATAGAACTATACTGTTAAGAATGCTGCTTTGATTATCCGAGTTTAAGGAGTTGTTGACTGTCCACATGAGAATGCATCTTCCAGGGCAAAATGCAATTTTTGATAGAGAGCTCTCAGACTAAAGGATTTCTTCAGGAGAAGCCTGGAGAGTGAACTAAGGTAAGCCGAAGTGCTATGAGCTAGAATTTGCAACACTGCGTTGCCGGCACGCAGCAGCTCTGCTCTGGGGATGCCACCCAAAAGGAAATTAGCTGCAACTCTGACAGCAATAGGCACCTTAGAAACATGAAAGGCGAATAGCTCACACTACCATCTTTACACTTCTTGCTAAAATAATACCCTTGTAGTAACTACAGAACTCTGAACTGTCTGCCAGGATCAAGACTGAGCCATTGACTAACTCCACCCACTGCACAAGAGCGACAATTTCCAATCACTGTTAGCTTTCATTACATTTGAATGAGCATCCTAGAAAATAGCTTCAATTAACATTAACAAACACTGTAAATAAATGTTTTATGGGAGTGCTAAGTGTTATTGCACTCACTGTTGAGTAAAAGTGTAGTTTCACCGCTCAGTAGTCTGCATGTGAGTTTAAACTACCACTAACTTTTCTAGGTGATATTTTATACAAAGCCAAGGATCTAAAGAAGTGATATTGCTATTGGCAAAACCCCATGTTAACAAGAACTAAATGCAGTGCCAAATTAAACATGTATAATACACATTACTATTGACATTTCCTGTTCCGCAAATGCAATTTAACATGTAGGCTGCTAGACACAGGTGTAATAAAGTTAACAATGAACAAAGAGCATTCAACTGCAACTCATCAGTTGGAATAAAATTTGCAGCACGAAGTCCTGCTTTTCCTAACAATAGTGCATTAATGTAAAGCAATTTATAATGATGAGACTACCAGCAGATATTTACTGGTGCCTGTTACAAATAAATAACAACTTTGAACAGAAAGTGTAAAAACCTCCGCAGAGCTGAGCTGCCAAGCAGTCCATCAGTCTGACTAGCTCAAAACTTCGAAAAAACCACATAAACTGCCACTGAACAAATGACTTTTTGAAGTTTCTGTAAGGAGGACTTGCACTAGACTCTACCAACTCCCCTCTCTCACAGACGACTTTCAGTATTATTTGTTATTTGGAGGGGGGAATAAAAAGGGCAACGGACATCAGAGCAAATTATGGAAAAATTCAAGCAATGGGAATAATCTACACTAGTGCATTTAACAGTGCCCACACTGAAGTGAATAGAAGAGTTCTGCTCTGTGAAATGACTTGGATTTTTTCCTTTGGGGAAAGAAGGCATCAAAAAGCGCAAGGGACGAAAAACCTCACGTCAATGCTAACAAGAAGTTACTAGACCAATAACCGTATTATTCATGAAGTGAATAGAGACGTGATCAGCACCAGGACAGATCTCTTCTATTCATTTTACATGAAGTAGTAGGAAAAAGGGATCAACAAGGTGGGGAGAGGGGGTCAGAGGGGGAAAGTACAGAGGACGGTGGGGTTTTGAGGAGAGGGGTCAGAGAAAGGGAGCTAGGGAGACCCGGGCCGGCTGGAGGGGGGGACGGGGGGGTCGGGTAAGGCTGGAGGGTCGGACGGGGGGAGCGGGGCACACAGCACGGCTGCCTGGCAGCCCTAGGCGCAGCAAGGTACAGTAGGATGAAGGGAGGAGACTCACCGCAGCAGCCATGCTACGTGAACTCAGAGGGCTGGAGGAGCCGTAACTACTCACTTGCTCGGCCAGCAGCTGCCGGCTCTGCACCGCGTTGTTCCGCAACAACAAGAACGCGTCCGTTAGACGCCGGGTGGCCATGGCCTACCGCCCCGGGGCCCCCTCGCCCCGGGGCCGCTCGGCGCCTCGCTGCCGGGCCCTCGGCCCTAGCTCAGCCCCGGGGCCCGCGGGCAGAGACGGCGGCCGCCCCCGGCGACGCCCGCTGGCCGCT